CTGACCTTCCCAGGGATTACCCCTGAGAAAACGCTGCGTTTTCCTGCTATTCCTGATATTCCTGACACTTACAGAGACTACCCAGGCGCCGAGGCCTCCTGGGGCTGCCGAAACATTGCCCTGGTGGAAAAAGCTGTGTGTTCCTGATATTCCTGACCTTCCCAGGAATTACCCCTGAGAAAACGCTGTGTTTTCCTGATATTCCTGATATTCCTGACATTTCTAGAGACTACCCTGCAGGCTCACGGTAGTCTATGGCAATGTCAGGAACATCAGGAATATCAGGAAAACACAACGTTTTCTCAGGGGTAACCCCTGGGAAGGTCAGGAATATCAGGAAAACACAGCGTTTTTCACCAGGGCAATGTTTCGGCAGCCCCAGGAGGCCTCGGCGCCTGGGTAGTCTCTGGAAATGTCAGGAATATCAGGAATATCAGGAAAACACAGCGTTTTCTCAGGGGTAATCCCTGGGAAGGTCAGGAATATCAGGAAAACACAGCGTTTTTCACCAGGGCAATGTTTCGGCAGCCCCAGGAGGCCTCGGCGCCTGGGTAGTCTCTGGAAATGTCCGGAATATCAGGAATATCAGGAAAACACAGCGTTTTCTCAAGGGTAATCCCTGGGAAGGTCAGGAATATCAGGAAAACACAGCGTTTTTCACCAGGGCAGTGTTTCGGCAGCCCCAGGAGGCTTCGGGAAGCCCCAGGAAGCGTTTCGGAAGACTCGGGAAGGCCAGGAGGCCTCAGGAAGCCCCAGGAAGCCCCAGGCACTCCCCCCCCAGGGCGCGCGAGGAAGAGGAGTAGCAAAAAAAGAAATATGTATGATCATGTGGGGGGGGCTACCACATATATATTATTTATATATATATATGTATATATATATATTATTTTATACAAAAAAAAAAAAAAAAAAAAAAAAAAAAAAAAAAAAAAAAAAAAAAAAAAAAAAAAAAAAAAAAAAAAAAAAACGGGCTGGAGCGCACCCGCTCTGTCGGTATGAGCGGCTGGAACACGAGCCCACGTAGAAGTTGGCGGCTGGAGCCCACGCTGTGGGCGGCTGGAACGTCGTAAAACTTGACGGGTGGAAACACTCGTCTTGTCGGCATGCACGGCAGGAGCACGTGCCTTCGTTAGAAATGAGGGGTGGGGACACACGCAGTGGGCGGCGGGAACGTTCCCTGGTGGAAACTGAAGGCTGGGACGCCCTCGTCTCGTCGGCAGTAGAAGCTGGAACACTTCCCCTTGTTAATATGAGGGCTGGAACCACGCCCCGCTTGAGGTTGTCAAATATGAACAAGGGGGGGGGAGGGCACGAACCTGGGGGTTGGGTTCCTGGCATTGTATCCGCGCCTCGCCGGCACAAACCTGGGGGTTGGATTCCTGGCATTGTATCCGCGCCTCGCCCCCACTCGAGGGCGCTCCGCGCGCGCTCGTGCGCGCGCGGTTGCTCGGTCGGTCGGTCTGGTCGTCGTCATCGGTTGATCGGTCGGTCGGTCGGTCGTCAGTCGTCGGTCGTCTCGGTCGGTCCATCCGTCGGTAGTCGTTTCGGTCCGGTCGTCGTCGTCGGTCGGTGCGTCGGTCTGTCGGCCGTCGTCGTTGTCGTCGTCGGTCGTCGCCGTTTCGGTCGGTCGGTCAACTTGGTTGGCATCGTCGGCCGTCGTCGTTTCGGTAGGTCGGTCGGTCGGTCGGTCCGGTCGTCGGCGTCGGTCCGTTGGTCGGTCCACCGGTCGTCGTCGTCGTCGTCGTCGCCGTCGTCGTCGTCGGTCGTCGTCGTCTCGGTCGGTCGGTCGGTCGGTCGGTCGGTCGGTCGGTCGTCGTTTTTTGTAAACTCCGTCGTCGGTCGGTCGGTCGATCCGTCGGCCTGTCGGTCAGTCGGTCGTCGTCGCGGTCGTCGGTTGTCGGTCGGCCGGTCGCCGCCGTAAGAAATGATTCCCTTTGGGTTCTTTCTCGTCTGGCCTCTTGCCTTCTGTCCGGAAATTCCTGGCTGTATCGCGCTTGCGCTGCTCTGCTGGAGCCAACGCCATAGCGCGCTCTGAAGACGCGCCATTGGCGTCATCAGAGAGGCCACGGACGCAACGAGGGTCGGAACATGATGTTGGACCCGAAACGTTCTGGATAAGATAGTCCACTGACTGTAATACCATGTCAATCGAGGGCTTAGAGTCCCCACACAGCGCTTGCCCTTAAAAATTCGCACTTCTTCCTAAGGAGCTGAGCCTGCGTGCCGGTCTGGCGGCTGTGTCGTCGCCGTCGCCGCCCGTCGTCCTGGCTTGCTTGCCGGTCTCGCGGCTATGTTGTCTCCTTCGCCGCCCAGTCGCCGCCTCGTCGCCTCACGTCGGCTGGGCCTGCGTGCTGGTCTGGAGGCTATGTCGTCACTGTTGGCGTCCCTCCGCTGCCTCCTATAGAATACCTCCTCCCTCGTCGTTGTCGTCGTCGGCGTCGCCGTCCTTCCTCCTTCGTCGTCGTTCGCGTCGTCACCGTCCTCCCTCCTCCTTCGTCGTTGTCGTCGTTGTCGCCGTCGTCGTCCTTCCTCCTTCCTCGTCGTCGCCTTCGTTGGCGTCGTCGTCGTCGGTCGTCGGCGTCGGCGTCGTTGTCGTCGTCGAAGTCGTCGGAGACGTCGTCGGTGTCGTCCTAGTCGTTGTCGTCGGTGTCGTCGTAGTCGGTCTTAACAGGTTTTGCAAACCAAGTTGCGGGTGGGTGGGTGGGATGTTTGCGCGAGCAGTGGAGAAGACAACTTCAAGTTCAGCAAACTAACTGCACCACATAGATTGCACCATATGCATTGCCCCACATATTTAGATTGCACCATCTAGATTGCACAACATAGATCGCGCCACATGGATTGCACAAATAGATTGCACCGCATGGGTTACGGCGCACGGATTGCACCACGTTTCCGCAACATTGCACCACATAGATTGCACGACATGGATTGCACCACATGTATTGCACAACAAAGATTTTCCTTTTCTACAAGACTAATAGATTCTACCCCCCCCTCGGACTTATTGGTTCCCCCGCGCGTGCTGTAAATCATATATGATTATGACCACATGTCCATCCTAAATATGAATTCATACCATCCCAGCCAAGCCGGGTTCCCCCCCCATGCGGTTCCCTGTCAAATAACACTATGCGGAGACATTTTTCTTTCTGACATAACACTTTTTCACGAATCCCTTGAAAAAATGGGACGAAGTGCACACGCGCGCGTCGTCGCGCGCGCATGCCGAAATCCTTCAAAAACCTTCGGTACTGGAAGGATTTCGCAATCGAGTTTCCGAAAAACATACAAAAACACATGGTTTCGCAACACTGGTTTGCTAAAAAAAACTTCCGCGCGAGCTCTTGCGAAATCTTGAGAAAACCATAGGTTTTTTTCAAGATTTTCACAAAATGCTACCAAACGGGCTTCGCGCGCGCGCATGTCGAAATCTGTCGAACGCCCTTGCGCGTGTGCCGTCGCGAGAATCCTCTGCAAAAAAAAAAAAAACGAAGTGCAGACGCGCGCGTCGTCGCGGACGTATGCCGAAAACCTTCGAAACCCATCGGTTTCGGAAGGATTTCAAAATCGTGCGTCCAAAAAACCTACAAGAACCCAAGGTTTCGCAACACGGATTTTCAACAAAAGCGTGCGCGCGCGCTCTTGCGTCGTCGTCGTCGTCGTCGCCGTCCTCCCTCCTCCCGCGTCGTCGTCGTCGTCGCCTACGTCGTCCTCTGTCTTTTCTCCTGTTTGTCGTCGTCGTCCTCTTTGGCGTCGTGGTCGTTTCCATCGTCGTTGTCGCCGTGGTCGGTCCTTCCTCCTCCCACGTCGTCGTCGTCGTCCGTCGTCGGCGTCTCATCGTCGTCCCTCCTATGTCGTCGCCGTCGTCGTCGTCGTTGTCGTCGTCGTCTTCCCTCCTCCCTCGTCGTTGTCGTCGTCGGCGTCGCCGTCCTTCCTCCTTCGTCGTCGTTCGCGTCGTCACCGTCCTCCCTCCTCCTTCGTCGTTGTCGTCGTTGTCGCCGTCGTCGTCCTTCCTCCTTCCTCGTCGTCGCCTTCGTTGGCGTCGTCGTCGTCGTCTTCGTCGTCGTCGGCGTCGGCGTCGCTGTCGTCGTCGAAGTCGTCGGAGACGTCGTCGGTGTCGTCCTAGTTGTTGTCGTCGGTGTCGTCGTAGTCGGTCTTAACAGGTTTTGCAAACCAAGTTGCGGGTGGGTGGGTGGGATGTTTGCGCGAGCAGTGGAGAAGACAACTTCAAGTTCGGCAAATTAATTGCACCACATAGATTGCACCACATAGGTTGCACTGCATAGATCGCACCACACATCTTGCACCACGTAGGTTGCACAACATAGATTGTATAGCATGAGTTGCACCACACGGATTGTACCACAGATATTGTTCCACATGGATTGCACCACACAGGTTGTACCACAGATTGCACAACTTATGTCGTACAACATAGGTTACTCCACATATATTGCACCGCATAAAGTGCACAATAGACTGCGCCGGATAGATTGCACAACCTAGGTCGCACCACATAGATTGTACAACATAGATCGCACCACACAGATTGCACCGCAGAGGTTGCACAGCATAGATTGCACCAAATCTATTGCATCGCATAGATTGCACCACATAGGTTGCTCCGGTTCCACATGTATGTATGTATCTATATTGCACCACATAGTTTTCCCCCACATCGATTGCACAACACGGATTGCACAACACGTACTGTACAACATGTATTGCGACATGTAGATTGCACCACACATGTTGGCCCACAGAGCTTGCACAGCATCGATGTCTAGAAACACGTGCAACTCCTCCTCCTCCTCCTCCTCCTCCTCCTCCTCCTCCTCATCCTCCTCCTCCTCCTCCTCTCTTCCTCCTCCTCTCTTCCTCCTCCTCTCTTCCTCCTCTCTTCCTCCTCTCTTCCTCCTCTCCTCCTCCTCCTCTTCCTCCTCCTCCTCCTCCCTCAGAGAAGGCAGGTCGGGCCCCACTGGGCGGGCGCGGGGCACGAGCGCGTCACGGCGCGGTACCGCTCCTGGCGCCGCCCCCGCCACTGCGCACCCCTCCCCCGAAGGGGCCTGGACGACGGGAGGCCCTCGGCCCTTGGGCGACTCTCGTCCAGGGCAGTCTTTGATACACAGTATTTGATTGGTTTTCCATACATGATTAATGTATGAATCAATGTATGCATGAACTCATCGTTGTTTTTAGTACTCAATCCCTGCATTTGTAATACATGAACCGCACGCGGAGCATGTATTAAAAATGGCACTGTCCCGTGGGGGGCCTCCGCGAGACTTCTCCTCGACACGGCCGGCTTCCCAGCGAAGCTCTCGCGGGCGTTGCACATATGGGGGGGCGAGGAGTGGTGGGGCGAACAAAACGTGCTCCTTTCGTGTGCCTCTTGGGCCCCAGGGGGCCCCTTCGATGCTTGAAGGACGGGACGGATGTCATGATGCGATCGGCGCAGGATGCGCTGCATGAACTCCAAGGCCGCTCGCGGCCTTCGTTTCCGCAGCCCGCGTGGAGCATCGGGAGATCTCGAGAACCCAGGAAATCTTGGAACGAATCATCATGATGACCTCTTGCTCCTCTGATGCTGACCTCCTAGCCCAGAAGTTCGCGGGTGTCCAAGAGGGGGGCGTCGAAGAGGGAGGCTCGCAAATCGTGGCCCGAGGCACGTGCGCGGGGCACCAGGGGACGCGCCGAAAGAAGAAGAAGAAGAAGAAGAAGAAGAAGAGGCGATGAGTTCCGAGGCGATGCCATGGCCCAGGCCAGGATGCCCCCCTGGGCAACGACCAGCGTGGGATTCGGCCCAGGAGGAGGAGGAGGAGGAGGAGGAGGAGGAGGAGGAGGAGGAGGAGGAGGAGGAGGAGGAGGAGGAGGGAGGAGGGGTGGGGAACCATCGAGCTGGAATCGGCGATGCACTGGGGGGAAACCTCGAGCCGGAATCGGCGATGCACCGCCCGGTGCATCGTCGGCGGCAGGCCCCACGACAGCGAGTCCGCACGCTCCTGGGCAGGGGGCGGGCGGAGGAGGAGGAGGAGGAGAGGAGGAGGAGAGGAGGAGGAAGAGAGGAGGAGGAGGAGGAGGAGGAGGAGGAGGAGGGAGGAGGAGGAGGTGGAGGGGAGGAGGAGAGGGGGGGTTCGGTGCATCCCCCCCCCCCCCAGAGCCTCTTCCGTCGCGGCGAGCGAGGGGGGGGGGAAAGGAGAAGGAGAGGGCCCTCTCGGAGGGCGGCGGGACGTCTCAGAAGCCCTCGCGCCTCCTGGGAAGTGTTCTGTGTCCTCGGGGACTGCTCAGAGAACTTCTCAGAAGGCCGGGGGGGCTCCCGAGCCTTCCGAGAAGGCCCGCCCCATTCTCAACAATACCCCCCCCCCCCCCCCCCCTCGCCTCGCCGCCAGGTTTTCCCCCCTGCACGATGCTCCTGGCCCCGGCGATCGAAACATGGCCACAAGAACGTGGGAGGGAGGGAGGGAGGGAGGAGGGAGGGGGGAGGGAGGGGGAGGGGAGGAGGAGGAGGAGGAGAGGAGGAGGAGGAGGAGGAGGAGGAGGAGGAGGAGGAGTGAAGAGAGGAGGAGGAGGAGGAGGAGGAGAAGGAGAGGAGGAGAGGAAGGAGGAGGAGGAGGAGGAGGAGAGGGGGAGGAGGAAGAGGAGGAGGAGGGAAGAAGGAGGAGGAGGAGGAGGAGAAAAGGAGGAGGAGGAGGAGGAGGAGGGGGGGAGGAGGAAGGAGGAGGAGGAGGAGGAGGATGCTGAGGAGGAAAGAAGGAGGAGGAGGAGGAAGAGGAGAAGAAGGAGGGGGAGGAGGAGAAGGAGGGGGAGGAGAGGAGGAGAAGAGGAGGAGGAGGAGGAGGAGAGGAGGAGAGAGGGGGAGGTCAAGCACATGAGCCTCCGCTCCGAGGGCCCAAGGCCTCGTGCAAGTGCCCACGGCGGAAAGCCCTGCGGCGCGGGAGGGAGCCTGGGAACGGAGAGCAGGAAGGGCACCCCTTCGGGGCTGGGGCTGGGCTGCCCCCCTCCGTGCCAGCTGCCCAAAATCGCAGGCCTAGAGATTGACACCAACACCGATTTCGGCGGTGTGCCTCCACCGAGGGAAGAAGATCCTGATCTCGGTGATGGTGGTAATATTCTGGCTTCCAAGGTGGCCGAACTATTACCACCAACACCGAAAATTTAGGATCACCTTCCCCCTGTGGAGGCAACCCCCTGTCTTGGTGTTGGTGCCAATTTCCAGGCCTCCGATACAATTGGCGGCGAGCGAGGGGGGAAGTGAGAAGGAGAAGATCTTCTCGGAAGGCCGCGGGGCTTCTCGGAAGCCCTCGCGCCCTCTGAGAGGTCTTCGGGGAAGGCTTAGAAAGCTTCTCAGAAGGCCGGGGGACTTCCGAGCCTTCTGGGAAGGCCTTCTCCTTCTCACTTCCCCCCTCGCTCGCCGCCGATAAAAAGGGGCCCAGGGACGCACAAAGAGATGGAAGCGAATCCCAGGATGTGCCCATGCTTCCCCCACATGTTCTGGGTGTTCGCCTTCCCCCCCCCCCCCAAAAAAAAAGAAAAAACTTCCCGTGTGTTCCTATCTTTCCCCTGGGATTCGACGATTCATGGTGTCTGTGCGTTTTCCCCCTCCAGACTGTACAGTGCGGGCGCGGCCGCAAGAAAACCTCGCAAGAAATCGAATCCTGAAAACCCGCGCGCGAGGGGCACCTGAAGGGGAAAGTGGAGCACCATGAACGCAGCAGCTTCTTCGACGACTGTGGACGGTCACCGCGCAGCGTGCGGAGCGAAGAAACCCAGGATACCAAGACGAAAATCATATGGTGTCTTGATGCGCGCCCCCAAGGTAGCCTCAGGTCGGGCATGTCCTCCTACAGGCGGATTTTGGAAGAAACATAAAACACAACAAAACAAAAGCCCAAACAAGTCACAAAAAAAAACTCGTCACCCGACTATGCACTTGTTACTCTTGAATAGTCATCCTGTAGAAGAACATACCCGACTTAACTGTAGCCCTCACCCCCCTCCTGGCCGCCCCCCCGAGACCTGACCTCTAGAGGCTTCCTAGATGGGGTTGAAGCAGATGGGATCGCGCCACATCGCCGATGCATCGACGATGCATCGTCGATGTATTGCCGGCGTCGGCGACGCATCGGCGACGTCGGCATGGAGAAAAGCTGGCTCTGCATCGACGATGCATCGCCGATGCATCGACGATGCGGCGCGATACTCCTCCGACCCCATCTACTCCGACCCTATCTATTTCGGAGGCCTAGACCAACTTAACTGCAGCCATCACCCCCCTCCTGGCCGCCCCCGAGACCTGACCTCCCCCCCCGCGTCTTCGTCGTCGTCGTGCTCGTCGTCGTCGACGTCGTCACGGCGCGGCCGCCGCCGCCCCCCCGCCGCGGCGGCCGCCCCATCGCCGTCGCCTCGCCGCCGCCGCCGCCGCCGCCGCCCCCCTGCCGCAGCGGCCGCCCCTTAGCTGCCGCCGCCTCCCCGCCGCCTCGCCGCCACCGCCGCCTCCCCGCCGCCTCGCCGCCGCCGCCGCCCCCGGGCCCCCTCTCGCGTGGTGAGAGGCTCGCGGCGGGAGGCCCTTCGCCGGGGTCGGCCTCTGCGGGCTCTCAATGGGGCCCTGGGGCCGTCAAGAGCGCCTGGATGAGAAAACGGGTCCCGGGGAGGGGGTCCGGAAGGAGGAGGAGGAGGAGGAGGGGGAGGAGGAGGAGGAGGAGGAGGAGGAGGAGGAGGAGGAGGAGGAGGGAGGAGGAGAAAGAGCGGGAGGAGGAGAAGCAGGATGAGGAGGAGGATGTGGAGTGACCTCTAGGGGTCGGCGCTGCGAAAAATCACGACGCCGGAGGTCTGAGCCAGAACCGCCGCCGCCCCGCCCCGCCGCCTGGCCATCGCTGGGGCGACCACTCCCCGTGCCTTCTTCGGTGCCGTGAGCGTTTTTTTTTCGTGCTCCGCAAATGACCCAAAAGGGAGTCCAGCTGAAAGGGGGTGGTGCAATAGATTTGGGGCAATTGTGTTGCAAACGTATTGCGCCAGAGAATTGTATTGCATTGCATTGCAACGAATGTATTGCACGCGAAAATCCAGCAATACATTTGCGCCCCGGAATGTATTGCACGCCTCAAATGTATTGCAACCCCACAAATCTATTGCACCAAATCTATTGCACCACCCCCTTGTCGCTGGACCCCCTTTTGGGTCAACCCGAGCAAACGGGTCCCAACTGATCTTTGAGGGTCCTCGCCGAGAAAGGGTGCAAACGTCCGAGCGATGCCACGCCGCCGCCCCGCCGCCGCCGACCCGTCGCCGCCCCGCCGCCGCCCCCCCGCCGCCCCCCCGCCGCCGCCGCACCGCCCGCCCGCCGCGGCGGCACCTCGAGGGGGCCTCTCGGGCCGCCGCCCGGGGGTAGGAAGGCACCAGCTATACACCAACACCGATCCTGGCCCAGGATCACCCTGGGTCCAGGATCGGTGTATACGCCCTCCTGCCTTGCGCAAGAAGGCGTATACACCGATCCTGGGCCCAGGGTGATCCTGGGCCAGGATCGGTGTTGGTGTATAGCTGGTCCCCTCCGAGGGGGGGGGACAGCCCAGGGGGGGCGCGGGCAGGTCAGAACGCCCCCTGGCCCATGGCCCCGCGGCTCTCTGAAGAATGAGGGAACGAATGAACGTCCTTCCTGGTGCAACGGGTGCCTCTGTCCTAGCTTGCCGTGCGCGGGAGTATCTGGGGGCGCAGAACCGAGCGGACGCTGATGTGTCATGAATCGGCTGCTTGCTTAAGAGGGGGAGAGGGGAGGTGAGGAGCAAGGGGAGGAGGAGCAAGGGGAGGAGGAGCAAGGGGAGGAGGAGCAAGGGGAGGAGGAGGAGGAGGACAAGAAGGATGATGATGGTGAGGAGGAGGAGTTCGGTTCGGATTGTCGTGGGGACCTGTTCAAGCCATGGCGCTTGTCGAACACACACACACACACACAGAGAAGAGCATCGATAGAGGAGGGGGGAGGAAGACGACGACAAGAGCTGGCAAGGCGATATTACCGTCACTCGTAGGCGTCGAAGCCTCCGCGTGCCCAACAGGACGACAGACGAGGAGAGGATGATGATGATGATGACGACGACGACGACGATGACGATGAAGATGACGATGATGATGATGACGACGACGATGATGATACTGATGATGATGATGGTGGTGGTGATGGTGATGATGATGATGGCGCTGATGGTGATGCTGATGACGATGATAACAATGATGACAGCAATGATGATGGTGATAATGAGAATGATAGCTGTGATGATGCTGATGATGATGTTGATCACAATGATGATGATGATGATGCTGCTGATGATGATGGTAATGATGATGGTGATGATGATGGTGGCGATGATGATGGTGATGATGATGATTGTGATGGTGATGGTGGTAAGATTGATGATGATGAGTATGGTCATGATGATCAAGACCATGATGTTGATGATGATAATGGTGATGGTGATGACTATAATGAGGTTGGTGGTGGTGATGGTGATGGTGCTGATGCTGATGATGATAGTGGTGATGCTGCTGCTGCTGCTGATGATGATGATGATGATGACGATGACTATGATGATGCCGATGATGATGATGATGATGATGCTGATGATGGTGGTGGTGATGATGAGGGTGGCGAGGGGATGAGGAGGAGGTAGCAATAGGAGCAGGAAGAGGAGCGCGAGGATTCTCATCCTCCTCTTTGCGTGATCCTCTGCGTCTCTGGCGCATGCAGCGGAGCTCCCGGGGCCACAACCACGCGCTGTAAAAAGGGGCAAGAGGGGCGAAAGGGGGATGGACAAAAGGAGCAGCCCGCCAGGGACGGAACATGAGACCTTGCTAGGGCGGCCGCGGCGGGGCTAGCCAAGTCCTCCCGAACCGTTGCCTGGAGGAGGGGTCCACCTCCTGCTGCAATTGTAACCAGAAACTGGCGAACCACTTTGTTCCTGACCCCCCTGGGACACTCCGTGATCAGGTGCTGGGAGCGCGAGGTGCCGAACGACGATCCTCATCATCTCCCTCCTCACCATCCCCCTCCCCCTCCTCATCCTCCACCTCATCCTCACTATCGTCATCACCATCAGCGGATCATTCTTCCGCCAACCTCACGCAACTACTTACACCGACACAGTTGCGCACGTGCCCCTCTGCTCTCCGCACACCCCCCTGTTGCTCCTCCGCCTCCTGCTGATCTTCAGCATGATCCACCACCACCCAGCATCATCCTCATAAGCATTACCATCGTCAACATCATCAATCACAAGAGCCCTACCATCATCGTCAACCATCATTCTCGACATCCTCTTCACTATCATCGGCATCAACCTTGCAATTGTCGTCGTAACCGTCAATCGCCATCGTCATCGTCATCGTCATAGTCGTCATCATCGTCATCACCATTACCATCATAATCATCATCAGCAGCGTCATCAGCATCATCATCATCAGCATCATCATCATCATCATCAACAATATGTTCATCATCAACATCATCATCATAATCAACATCAGCATCAGCATCATCATCATAATCATCTGCAGCAGAATCATTATCATCATCATCATCATCATCATCATCAGCAGCAGCATTATCATCATCGTCATCATCGCCATCTTCATCTTCATCTTCATCGTCATCCGTATCATCTCAGTATCATCATCCTAATATTCATCTGCATCTTCATCGACAGCACCACCATCAGTATAGTCGTTCCGTCCTCGCCATCGTCGCATCATCATCATCATCATCAGCATCATCATCATCATCATCATCATCAGCATCATCACCATCGTCATCAGCAGCATCATCAGCAGCATCACAATCACTATAGTAAGCACGATCATCCGCATCACAACCATAATCATAATCAGAATCAGAATCATCACAATCACAACCATCATCGTCATCCTCGTCTTCATCACAATCATCATCAACGTCGTCAGCATCGTCATCACCATCCGCATCGACCTCATCACGATCATCCCCCTCTTCCTGTTCCAACCTCAACCGACCCTCCCCTCTTCTGAGTGCAGAAGCATCCTCTCCGTTCTCCCCGACAAGTCTCATCCTGAGCCTGGCCATCCCTGAAGGGGCCCTGGGACACACAAATAAATACCAACAAATAAAAGATTCCTCATATTTCCTATATTTTCTGGGTTTCTGTCTTCCCCCCCACTTCCCATATTTTCCCATATTTTCTGGGGAATCGACGATTAATTGTGTCTGTGTGTTTCTTTTCCTCCTGAATCCCCCCACGCTCCTGGCCAGCGGTGTCCCAGATCTGCAGCTTGATCTGGCGATTGCCGAGGGAGATGATCTTGGTGCCGAACTCGACGCCGATCTGAGCGACGGGCGGGTGGGCCAAAAATGCGATGACAAAACGATACTCCAGATTTCGTAATAAAGGGAGGGGGGTCTCATTTCGGAGGGGGGTCTCTTCCAAGCTATCTTGGAGGGCCTGGGGGGGTCTGGGGACGATGTTTTGGAGGGTTCTCCCACGGCGGGGGGGTCTAAAACTTCTCGTCTGGGAGGGTTGAGACCCCCTCCCTTTTATTACGAAATCTGGAGTAGATGGGATGTCCATTCCACAATGGGCGGTGCGCCGGAACAATAAAACCGGTGCTCGTGCTCCGACACGCTATGCCAGACCCGCTTCCCCTCGTCGTGTCCCCCGCTGCCCCATGATCCCAATCCTCCTCGTCGTTGCCATATAGGCCCTCACGTCCTTGTCATCCCTGTCCTCTACTCTAACCAAATTCATCCCTCCTCATCCTCTTCCACACGCCCATCCTCTGTCTGATCGCGCATCATCCTCGACTTCAATGCGATGGATCTGGCGGTGGAACCGTGGGGTGTCGCAGTCTTTCCCGCCGCGGGCCACCAGTAGGGCTGACCCGACTCATCCATCCTGTTCCTCAATTGTCCTCCTGAATCTTCCTTCAACTCCTCCTTCTCTTTATCCTCCTCCTCACCTTGTCGCGTACCAAGGGCGATGCGGCTCCTCCTCCCCCTCTCCTCCTCGTCCTTCCTCCTCTTCCTACCCCCCCGTCCTCCTGCTGCTCCCGCCCCTTTCTGCTCCTGAGTCATTCGCGACCCTCGGCAGACACCATTCGAGGTGACTTCTGCATGAGCTTCTGGCACATAGGACGACTGGGCTCCTCCGAGGAGTAGCTCCTCCCCCTCAGCCTCGTCCTCTAAGGGGACCAAGGGACGCTCAAATGAATATATATATATATATATACACACACACCAGGATTCCCGATACATTCTATATATTCTGGAATCTCGTCTTCCCCTCCCCCACGTTCTGTATTCTCCCATATTTTCCTGGGGGTCGACGAATGTTTGTGTCTGTGTTGCTTCCCCTCCTGATACTTGTCCTCCTCGCCCAACTTTCATCCGTCTGTGGGCACGCATATCTTCCCTATTGGGAGGGATGAGTTTGCCTTCCACGTTCACCGCGGTCATGGCAAACAGCGATAATAGCTTCCGAGACACACTGACATGGAATGAAGTGCCAGAACGATGCCAAGCGCAAAGCATGCTTGACCGTGTCCGCGTTATGCACAGTCTAGCGGGACTTGCTGAATCGATTCAGATCAGGATCCATGCCAACAAAAGCTGCAGAGTCATTATCCTGAATGAGTTCCTCGCTCCTCGTGGTCCTCCTCCCCTATCACCCTCCTATGTACATATATACATGTTTATATATAAATGTGTGTGTGTGTGTCACTCCCTATTCCCCTCCACGTGTCTCGCATCCTCCTCCTCCTCCTCCTCCTCCTCCTCCTCCTCCTCCTCCTAACCTTCCGTTCCATCACCATCCTCCGCATACATTTGCGTCCATTTCCCCTCCTCCTCCTCCTCCTCCTCCTTCTTATGCTCCTCCTTCTCCTCCACCCTCCCCCTCCTCATGATAAGTTTCCTCCTAGTCATCCCTCCCGCCTCGTTCTCCTAGTCTTCCTTACTGGTCACCCCTCCTAGGCAACCTTCCTCCTACTTTTCCCTCCTTCACTTCTTCTCCTCCTTTGCCTCCTCCTGCTCTTCCTGCTCCTCCTGCTCCTCATCCTCCTCCTCCTCCTCCTCCTCCTCCTCCTCCTCCTGCTTCTCCTCCTCCTCCTCCTCCTCCTCCTCCTCCTCCTCATGGTCCTCCTCCCATCTCCTCCCCCATGCTACCTCTCCGCTGCATGTCCCCCGCATCAGCGTCGGCAGCCCCGACCGTGTGCGTGGACTGTTTCCTGAACTTGCCCTCCAGGAACTGATGCATGAAGCTGCTCTTGCCTGCGCGCAAAGCATGGGAAGGAGGCCACTCATTTGCGATCAATCTCTGCTAGCCTGCTGGCGCCTGTCGGGAAACGACGAGAAGAAAGAGGAGCAATGGATCCAGGAAGGCCTTTGCCCATGAGATGAAGGCCGCCGACTCACCTCTCGAGCTCGCTTCTCCCCGCCCTCCTGATGCTCGGTTCGGTTGAGGTCCCGGCGAGTTTTCCCGGTCCCTGGAGGTTCATGCCCCACCCCCCGACGGGCCCCCCTGGCTCCTCTCGACCCACGCCTTTGTGGTGACGGGGGCCGGCGGTGGGGGGAAGGGGCGGGGGGGAAACGATGGCTCGGGCCGCCCCCCGCCCTGGAGACAGGATACGGCACGGAGACCACCTGCCGCCCAAGAGCTCAAGGGCACGGTCTGCTGCCGTCCGTGCTCTCCAAGCGGACCCCTGCACTGCCGCAGCAAGCAGCTCCGACGTCCGCAGGCGAGGAAGATGGCCCGTGGCGCTCCCTGCACGGGAGACAACTTTTTGGAGGTGCGAACGGATCTCGTGGATCCGCGCTGGACCCCCCTCCCTGGCGCGCGGAACGCGCCAGAGACGGCGCCAGAGGCGCCGCCGGGCGGAGTCCAGCGCCAAACCCAAAAGCCGGCGCGGAGCTCCAGTCTTTCTTGATGCCATTTTCTTCTTCGATGGAGTGGTCGCAAACCGGTGCCCTGGAGCGCCCCCCTTGCTTCCTGCGGGCGTCCCGTAAATGACGGGGAGCGCGCATCCGCCAAGCGGGCGAGCCAGTCGGGAATGCGCTCCCCGCAAACCGCCAAGTGGAAGCGTCCCAGAGGGAGCACCCAAGAGGGAACGCACAAAATAGTCGCCCGAGGCACGTGCGCGGCCCAGGGCACCAGGGCATGGGGCCAGGGGGGGGGGCGCATTGAACGAAGAGGGGGCCGCGAAATGCGGGCAGATGCCATTGCCCCCTGCCATGGTGACTGTCCACAACCGTTATGTCGGGCGTGTCCCCATACAGGGGGATTGTCGACGAAAAATAAAAATACCGGAAAAATGCCCCAAAAAGGCAAAACACAAGTACTCAAAAAATAGTCCCCAGACTATTTGTTTTTCAATTGTTTGACTATTTTGGTAGGGTATTTTGCATTTTTCGTCGAAACACAACAGGGGACAGGCCCGACATAACACAACCACCCTTGGTCATCAGCCCCCTCTTGGCCGCCCGCGAGGCGAGCGGATCGCCAGGGGACGCCGCCGGGCCCTCCCCGCCCAGGAATGCGCATGTGTGGACGCCCGGAAGGGGTGCGGAAGACAGGGGCACAGTGTCCAACAACAAATGCTGTCCCAAACCAACTGAAGGGGCCCCAGGACACACAAATAAATACACACAAATAAACAGATTCCCCATATTTTCCCATATTTTCGAGGTTTGTTGTCTTCCTCCCCACTTCCCATATTTTCCCATATTTTCTGGGGAATCGACGATTAATTGTGTCTGTGTGTTTTTTCCCTCCTGAAAAACATGGGCACAATGCCCAACAACAAATGCTTTCCCAAACCAACAGCGGCCGCTGTTGGGCAGGCGGCCCTCTGACTCAAATAGACACAGGCCGCGGCGGTGCGGACAGCGAGGCCTGTTCAGAATGAGCAGGAACTGCTGTTGGGCATTGTACCCATTCCTTCCGTACCCATTTCGTTCGTGCCGAGCATGGCGGGCGGGACTACGGCCCGCGCTGCGCGGCAGCATCAGCAGCAGCGCGAGCAGGATAGAATCGATGCCGGGTCGCGGGCGCCCTCCCACGGGCGAGCACAAGAAGAAGAAGAAAAAGGGGAGGGAGGACAAAGACGGGCACGAGGGGAAGGCTGCGGAATAGGAGGGGGGGAGGAAGACGACGACAAGGACGACGAGGACGACGACGACGACGACGACGACGACGACGATGACGACGACGACGACGACGACAACGGCGACGACGACGACGACGACGCAGAGGATTGGATTGGACACGTCGGGAACAAGGCTGGGCCATCCAGCAACGAAGGATGGAGACCCGACCCTGCATCGCTAAGCGGCACATGGCGGCCCTCCAAACAACATGCCAGAGGACCCGACCTAGAGAGAACAACCGCGATGAGTCCCACGCAGTGCAGAGCAGGGGCAACCAGTTCCATTGGTTGCCACCGCTGGCCACTAGGAACCCATGAACTGCGCACGATATAGCACAGTCGTTTAAAAGGGAATCAATATTCTCCTCCACCTCTTCTCCTCCAAGCCTCCCCCACCCCGTAATCGAGCAGACAACTTTGGGGGAAGAGGCAGGGGGAGGGAGGGGTATGAAAGAGAGACGACTAAAGCAGTTGGGAAACAGGAACAAGCTCCTCAAAAACAACATCATTGCCCTTGGCATGCGAGCGGTGCTTACCCTCCCGCACTCGCTTAAGATTATACCTGAGGTGGTCAATGGTTGGCCCTCCAAGGCAATCCTCTGCAAGCTTGTTAAGCCGTCCTGATTCGGTCATGCATCCACAAGCCGTGCACATGAAAATAACGCCGCCCGGGTATTGGGTAACATGCAAGTGGTGGCGGCGCGGGTTCGCGAAGAGAGCGGGGAGCTCGGGGTGAGCCTGCTTGCAAGCAGGTGTGGGCAAGGGAGGGTCACGCAGGCTGCGCCTTAGGCAGACTCTGCAAACCCACCTGGACTGCCTCCACACCCAGCGGTGGCCGCCCACCGTGAGACCGGCGGGTACAGCAGGGTCACTGTCAGGAGGAAAAGGGCAGCGGGAGGGGCAGGAGGAGAGGGAGGGGCGGGGGGAGGGGCATTGGACGACCCTGCGGCCTCGCCCAAAACTTCTTGGCCAGCTGCTGCACCAACACGGCCTCGCCCCGTAGCTGTCCCTTCCCTGGCCAACCGCTCCTTCGGCCGAAGGGGAGCCAGGGAGCTCCAGTGCAGCAGCGTTTTACATACGAATTTAAGGTACTGGGCCAAAGCATGGCACTCGCGAGAATGCTCGTCGAGGTCAGCTGCCGAGGGGCGCGCGTGCGAAAACGCCGCCGATTTGGCCAGTAAGTCGGCCCAATGGTTACTTTAGCCTGGTACCACTCCTCGCTGTAGGGGGTGAGGTCGCTCAGATCTACATGGGCTTTCACTTTAAAAATGCGTAGCTGCTCACGCGGCCTGGGGAAGGCACCGATCCCTAGAAGCTTCACTCCAGCATAATAAGATATTCGATCGAAAACTGCCTCTGGAGCCTTCTCCGCGGTACCGACAAGACCCTCGTAATCAGTGCAGAACTCGCTGGCATAAGGTGCATGCCTAGACGAAGCAAGAAAACCTACATGTTCAGCGGCCGGGCTGGTTTGAGGTAGGAGACGACCTACTTTACCAGAGATCGAAGCGTGCACTTCACCATGACCAGTGATACAGACACAAGCCCAACCAGCACAGCGGTGTACCCGATGTCCGTCTTTGAAGCAAGATCCATCCCAGAAGAGCCCCTTGCCTCTAAAGGCTTCAAGTGCAGTCGCGCCAGGATCCACGCAGTGGAATTCGTACTGTTCATGCCCCAGACCGTCAGGTGGACAGCCGATGCTCTCCGGCTCAACTTGGAGGCCTAACATTAAGGGGCGCTTCCTGCTCCCGTGTACGACTACATTCTGAACCAACTCTGAAAGAAATTCTTCTCGCAGCGCCCTCGTGGCAGGGCAGAGGAACAGCCGGTGATGCAAATCATCAGATATAGCACCGCAGAGCGGGCAAGATGAGTCAGGAATAATGTACCCCATTTGCAATAGTCGCCAATTCGCGCAGACGCTCTGCAATAGGAAAGCTTTCAACATTCGCTCCTCAGCCACACTCAGGGCGTCAGAAAACAGAAGGCTCCTAGCAACGGACATATCCACCCTTTTCACCCTCCAACCCGATTTTCTGGGCAGCCCTCTCGGAGAGTTGTCTCATCAAAACGACCTTCAAGTCCGACAACAATGTGGCGGGGGAGGTGGTGGTGAGGTGGATTTCGTCCCCGAGGTGATTGATCCAGACGAACGGGGTTTTGAAGGACCAGGAAACACGGGCCAGTGACAGCACGGCCGCCCCCAAGGGTCCTTTGACCTGGTTCCAGGTCCTGAGTTCTTGATGGAGCACTGGATCAGCAAGTTCACGCAGCCCTGCAAGAGAAGGTTCAAAATTTCTGGACGCAGTTGCCTTCCAAACCAGATTGGCCCAAGTCAGAGCGGGACCCAGCGCCAACTTGTGGGTGGGGTCATCGTGAAGAAGGAGAGTCAAAGTTCGGGAGCGGGAGGGGCAGGTCGAGCCCACAGTCTGCAGGAAGAAGGATTGAGCAGAGTACACTTCCTTCCCATCCAAGCCCACCACCTCCGCCCCGTAATATCCATAACTCTGGAAACCACTGATGTAGAGGCGCTGCATGTCGGCACCTCCCTTCTTGACCGCCGCCAGACGCCTCTTTCGCGCCCGGAGGTTCTTGATCCGAGCCTTGTTGAGGTTGCGTCTCGCCCCCTTGCGACATCGAAGAAGCCCGGCTGTGGTATCAATGCCGAGATTCTTGGCGGAACGCAAATTGGAAGTGCCCGCGAACTTGCCCATGGCCTTGGCTAGGTCACGGCGGAGAGAATCAGAGTTGGCCACCACTGCCGATTTCTTCGATGCAAGCTGACAGCCTAGATCTTCCCCAATTAAGCGTACGACCTCAGACGAACTGGCCACAGTTCTGTTGATCAAGACACGCCTACCGAAATCAATGTTCATGTTTACCCTATCGTCGATGAAAAGATATAGATCAGACAGCCGATGGTTCCCAGCAAAAGCCTTCACAGGGTCATGCGAATACACCTGGACCAAGAAAGTCGCCCAGGGACACCCAGCAATAATACTTCTGTCCGGGAACAGGGATGCAAGGGCATAGCCATTCAGAGTGAAGAACCTCTGCGAACGATACATGTTACAGGCGACTGCGAGACACATCATGTTGAAACCAGTGGCCTGCGCAAGCTCG